ACCTTGTGCTGGGAATTCATTTTTCACGAAACCTTCAGATGCTTTCTTTATGTTTTGTTAGTGGAAATATCCAATGCTGGCTTTTCTGTGTGTTTAACTGCTTACCAAATGGATAAACTGCAGTGTGTGTTTCATCCCTGGGCATGTGTGTTATTCCAGTGCCTCTTTTCCAGGAATATTTAGAAGCTATTCATGAGCTCTATGAAGAGTGGCTCATTAAACGTGCACTGTTTGAGGTTTCCTGCCCAGTGCTTGTGAGTATCACTTTAATTATAACCAATTAGGCATGTGGAGGATTGTACTTTTCAGATAATAAGAGCATTATTTAGTGGTAAAAGTAAATAAATCTGCTTTTGTGGTAACCTTGGAGAATGAGAACCTCATAAGACTGTTTACAGATGTGTGGTGTATAGCATGAAAGTCTGGTTTTCCACCTCTCTGTGGAATTTGAGGGTCTGTTCACTGTGATTGGTTGCAGGATCAGCCACGTAACTTTTCAGGGAATGCCAAATTTCAAACAGAAAGTGATTTGGACAGACCCCGGGAGCATCTTGGTTTGGCTTCAGTGCTAGTCCTCTTCTGTTCTGCTCAAAACCCCCCGTGTTTTATGGTGTCAGGTATTTCTAACGTTCATGTTCTTCTTTTCAAGGTTATTGGAGCTGACCATGACATACAGAAAATGATAGAAAAGTATGAAGAAAAACGGGACCAAATACTAAACCCTTCTGATAGACAACACCATTTATAGAAGCCTGTGCTTGTTGTACCAAATAGTGTTTAGGAAGTCTGATTTGGTATTTTTAATATTTAAATAGAACTGGTTTTGGTTTTGCACTATGCTTTGTAGAATTTTGTGGAGTTATCGCTATAAAATGTCCAAGTCAGGAACAGAATATAAACCAATTCCTTTTTATGTTTTTCGGTTCTCCGTCAGCTTTACTGTGTCAAATCTCTTCAGCTAAAATATGGCTGTTTCTCTCATTTCCCAGTTCACTGCTACTTCCTAGAAGTAACCTCTTCTTTATTTTTCCCTAAAGACAACCCTGGTTTTGTAATTTAAAATAAATGTTTTGTTTCTACCTGTCTCTGAAGCAAAGAACTGAGGCTGCTGTTGGTGAAGCCGCTGGGGTGAATTGAAATGACACCCAGTGCCTGGTGTGTGCATGAGGGAGGTGTTTTTATCACAGTCAGCCCAACCCCAGCAGGGCCATGGAGCAGATCACTGTGGGTGTGCTCACACAGGACAACCAGGGCTCAGGCCCAGCCAGAACGGGTTAGAGAGGGCAGGTCCTGTCTGACCACCCCGATCTCCTCTCATGACCAGGTGACCATCTGGTGGATGAGGGGCAGGCTGGGGATGTGTCTGCCTGGCCTTCAGCCAAGCCTCTGACACCATCTCCCACGGCACACTCCTGGAGAAGGCTTGGACAGACAGGGCACTCTGTGCTGGGTCAGGAACTGGCTGATGGCTGAGCCCAGGGAGCTGCATCCAGCTGGGATCTGGTCACCAGTGCTGTCCCCAGGGATCAGTGCTGGGCCCAGTTCTGTTCAGTACCTTTATTGATGAGAGAGTTGAGTGCACCATTAGCACATTTGGGTGTGGGGGTCAACAAGGCCAAGTGCCAGGTCCTGCCCTTTGGCCACAACCCCCTGCAGCTCCAGGCTGGGCAGAGGGGCTGGAAAGTGCCCAGCGGGAAAGGCCCTGGGGGTGCTGGTGACAGGGCTGTACATGAGCCAGGTGTGCCCAGGGGGGCAGGAGGGTCAAGGGCACCTGGCCTGGATCAGGAATGGTGGGGCAGCAGGACCAGGACAGTCCCCATTCCCCTGTGCTGGCACTGCTGGGGCCACTCGAGTGCTGTGTCCAGTTTTGGGCCCTCCCTGCAGGAACACTGAGGGGCTGGAGCGTGTGCAGGGAAGGGAACGGAGCTGGGAAGGGGCTGGAGCAGCAGGAGGGGCTGAGGTTGCTGGGGGGGGCTCAGCCTGGAGGTTGTACTGAGGTGGGAGTTGGGCTCTGCTCCCAGGGAACAAGGGACTGGACAAGAGGACAGTCCTCAGCTGCACCAGGGGAGGTTTAGGCTGGACAACAGGAAGATTTTGTTCACTGAAAGGGTGATCAGATGTTGGAACAGGCTGCCCAGGGAGGTGGTGGAGTCCCCATCCCTGGAGGTGTTCAAGGAATAGAAGAGGTGGGATGTTCTTTTATTATTAAGGAAGCAAATGAAGTGCATCAAGTGAAGTAGCTTTGTTAAACAGGTCTCACCAGTTTGAAATCTTGGGTCTTACTCTAATCCTACCCACACTAGTGCAGTTCCAGTGAACTCAGCACGGTCCTTCTGCTCTACAAGGACACTACAGTGTAGCTGTAGTTCTGTAGCAGTTCCCACGCAATTCAGAGGCAAAAAAAAGAAAAACCCAAACCACAGATTTGTAAGTGATTGCAGGATGGCTTTCAGGCTGTTTCACAGCCAGCTTTCTGTGGAGGCCTTATTTCTCTCCAGTGTTCATGAGATCCCAAGCCCTGCTATGGCTGAGGAACAGTGAAAACACAGTGCACAGAAAGGCATTTGTTGTTCCTTTCAAATGGTTATAAAAAATCCTAAAATTAATTGATTTCTTAACTGCTTCAGATTCTCAGATTTTACTTCTTTTTACAAAGAAAAATACAGGTGGTTCTTTGGGTTTAGATCATGATCAGTTTATTATGACCTGCAGGTACTTGGACAGTGAACCAGTGGGGGTTTCATTCAGAACTCTTCAGCTCAAGTGTTGAGCTGCCCTTCTCTTGTGCTTTACCCTCTGTATGTTCTCTTCAGGGTAATCCTTTTAATGCAGCAGTTTGGACTGTTTTCACCTTACCTTTTCTGGGTAATTTTAGGGGAATGATCCCTGAAGTACAACATACATGTAATTTATTTCCCCTAATAGTTTTGGTTGGTTTTGCTGGGGCAAGCAAGGCATCAGTGAGCATTTTGATCACATACTGCAGACATTTGTCTGGCACTTGGAGGACATAAATATCCAGTGATGTGGCCTTTCAGCACCATCTGATGGCATTGCTCTTGGAGATCACTGCCTCTCCTTTGCAGTATTGTGGTAGGACTAAAAATCTTGCATTGAAGGGACTGCACCAAGTCAGGAAATGCAGTTCATGTCTTGGTAGTCCCACTTGATGGGTTATTTTTTTTTCCAAATCACTACAACTTATTAATGATGAGTGCACTGAGCATTTCCTGGATTAGTACTGAGTTAATACTAAGGCTTGTGATCCCAGTAATGCCATGCTATGGGCCTGTTGTAAATGTTTAGAATTCTAGCTTAAAAATAAGATTTTGTGTGCTAATTGATTCTCTTTCTTATTGAAGCTTATTTGTAGGGGGATAGTGATTATTCTTAAAACCTTCTGTTAAACTTTCAAACCTTTTTCTTCTACAAAAGAGTACAAAGGAGCTGCTTCTTTGGAAACGCTTCTATACATTTGAAGTTCAGTCATCTGCAGTTTGTTCTAAACTCTGACTTCATTAAGGGTTGCAGAAGCACAAGATGCATGTTTTGCACAGTCCAGAAAATCTCACTTAATGGTTTAGCCCAGAGGATGTCACTGTGATTTGTCAGGAAAGAGTCCTGTGAACAGTTTTTGTCTATAATAACTGTTTCTCACAACCTCACCCAGACCTGGAGGCAGCCCTTGGTGTGAGCTTGAGCAGAGTTCTGATCCCCCCACACTGCTGGAACCAGGGGATGGCAGAACTTCATCTATTAGTTGTTCATAAAGCAGATCTTTACGTTTAGCTCCTGAGCTTTTTCTAGTGCAATCCATGTGCTTCTCTTTGAATTTTTTGAGGGCTGGACGTTCAATTATAAACTATTCATACAAAATTAATTTCAGCTAGTATTTTAACGACACATGAAACAACAAAGCACTATTAGCATCCAAAGCACAGCCCCATGTTAGCCACTGTGAAGAAAACTCCACCCCAGCCAAAACCAGCACACATTGAAATGCTACTGGAAAAGCTACTTGATGCAGTATTAAAGTGTCCTTCTGGGTAACAAGTGTATAAAGAAGCACTGAAGACTGTGTTTAAGTACAGTACCAGTGGCTAGGGGCTTTTCTAAATTAATTAAAGGTTGTGTGTGCCAGAGGCTCTCCCTGCTGGGACTCAGCTTCCAGCTGATCCCACACTCTGCTCCAGCACACAGCATTGCCACTTCCAGAAGATCCCTGATCCTGGCTCTGGTGTCACTGCTACCCTTCTCTGCTGACATATCTTCCTTGACACTAAAAGGGCAAAGAATGGCAGTTTTTCTCCTTAATTTTAGTGAACTGGTTTACAGAAAAATTCCGTGAATTCTGGTGCGGAATGAAGTGGCAGGAGCAGGGACAAGGGAAATGGCATCAGCAGCTGGATCTCTTTCCTGGTGGCGGTGAACAGTTATGCTCAAAGCTTCTCTTGAAAACTGTGGTGGTAGCCACAAAATATTCTGGTTATAAATGAAGGCAGGTATAAAACCGGGAATACAGGTTACTGCCTCTCCAAAACCATGAGTTTAATAACCCCAGGGCTGTTTCCCTCTTCAAACCTCGAGGAACGTGGTCAGACTTTCTAACCTTGTTCTCAGCTGCAGGCAGGGGGAAGATCAGCTCAGAGCAGCTTCCAAGGAATGCAGTGAGCTAACAAACATGAGTACACTGCAGTACAGCATTTGTGAAGCCAGAAAGCTGGCCCTTCCACTTCAGAAGATTTACCTTGCACTGGAAGAATAGTCCAGGAACAGGTCTGTGAAGGGGGGAAAAAAAAGCAGCATGCTTAACTGAAGAAAACCTGTCTGGCATTAGAAACAGCCAGAAGGAATCTGGCTAATGAATTAAATGGATTGAAATGTATGGAAGTTTACCCTTTAGAAAGGGTTTCCTTGCCACAGGGGCCACTAAGACTTTGTGCAACTACTCCTGCTTTTTACTGTCCGAAAGCAGTGATGTGGTTTTGGTGGTTTTTTTAAACTGTTTCAACAAAACTAATCATCTCCTTGAAAAGATGATCAAGGCCACAAGTGAGAGGCAAAAACCCCAGGCAGATTAGAAATAAAGCACTGGTAGAGTCAAGTGTGATGGCATAACATTCCTTGGTCGGTCCTGTCAATAATGACATAAGGCTCCTGGTTTTCACTGAGTTCTGAATTCCAGTTCTCCAGAGTTACTTCACTGGATTCAGGAGGGTCAGGTTGAGGCTGCAGGAGGGCCCTTCTGTCCCGTGTGCTGGTCCTCCTTGGGTGTGGAGGGTGAACATCGATGCTCTGTGGTGGGATGTAGGTGAGGTTGGGGGGCTCCCTGATGTGCCTGAAGCCCTCAGAGGCCGTGTGTGTCTTACCAGTATCCATGAACAGTCTCTTGCCATCAGAACCAGTGGTGGAATGCTCCGAGGATGGCTCAGCACGTGCAGCTGCCCTGTTGTGCAGCTCAGCATCAGCCAGGTATGTGTGTTTGAGTTTGGAGTGGTTACATTCTCTTATGTGCCTATCACTTGCCCTTGCACATGCTCCTGCTGCAGGCTGGCCAGTTTCCTCCACTGGATACATCAGATCTTCCTGAGTGTCCTTGATCTGCAGTTTTGTGAAAGTTAAAGACAGATCACAAACCTCCTCCTCCCTGGGGACAGTCTGGGCAGAGGCAAAGTCCGTGTAGGGCAGAGACTTCAGCTCACCGGGTCCCTCGGCAGGGTCTGGGTCTACGCAGTTCATGGCATCCTTGATTTCTGCTTCAATGGATCCTGGGGGCAGCTGTGGAGCTCTGAACTGCACAGGGGCTGAGCTGTCACAGGGGCAGTCAGCAAACATGGCAAAGGCTGGGGGGCCGCTGGCTGCTGGTGACAGCGGCACAGGCCCCAGCTCAGCCCCAGGTGGCTCCACAGCCACTGCCAGGGCACATTCCTCACTCACACTGGCTCTTGGCTCTGTCTCAAATGCCTTTGGAGAACGACTCTCACTGAAAATAGGTGTTTGTCCAATGACAATGTCACTGTATTTGACCAGGAAGTCCTCGCTGTCCGAGCACTGCCCCGGCAGCCGCACGCTGTCGATGCCTTGCCTGGGGAGTTCCGGGGGGCTGGCGGTGGATGGAGCAGCTGCTGCCTCAGCCAGCCTGTCCTTCATCTCCACACTCCCAGCAGCCTCAAAGGACAGAGGGCAGGGAGCTGAGCAGTTCTGCTGAGGAGCTAGGCACAAAGATGCCTCACTGCTTTCCTCCTTTTCCAGGTTTCCAGCGTCTCCTCTCTGGGGTGGCTGATCCCTGTCCTGCTCTCCCTGGTGCCGCTGTGTTTGTGTTCTCTCCTGCAGGGGCTCCTCCAAATTGCCACCTTTTCCTTCACTTGTCATTTCTAGGATGGTTTCGCACTCGATCCTTGCCAGGAATATTTCAAAGGCAGTCTGCTTTGTTTCCTCATTGTTTCTCTGTTTGACGAGTGAAAACTCTGTTGCTGTTGTCGCAACGTACCCTATTTTCTCCAGGAGTGCTTTGACAGTGTCATCTGGGAGCACTGATTGGATGTAGTAGACAAAGTTACCAGTGAATGTCTGAAACAGAATGAAACACAGGAAAACGCTGAGGGAAGGGGGTGGAAGAAAACGTGAAAGACTGAAAATCAAAAATACTTCAGAAATTGCTTACATCTTTCAAAAAAACCCGTGTTCCTGAAAGTCTGAATTGTGAATTGCAGTGAGCGAGGCTTTCCTAAAGCATTGTTTTGTCAGCCACTCAAGCACAGTAGTTTCAGTGAAGTGATGCCAGTTGAAACCTGCTGAGGTCCTGGCTAAGAGTATCAGCACTCAAAAAGGAAGAGAATGAGGAAATTATTTTAGTCAAACTAGAGAAAATCAGAAATAAATCTTATGTGCTCTATTGAAGAACATAAGCTTTTTTAACAAACAAAGATTCACAGACTAACTCAATGAGGTCTGACCTTTTCCTAAAAAAAAAAGCAAACAAGATGCACTCACTGTTAACTGCATTTCCTAATTGGTGACAAGGCTGTAACATTTTCTTTTCCCATGGTTCAGATTCCTGCTGTAACTTTACTACCTTTGAATGTAATTGCCATTTTCTGAAAGCACCTTTTTGAAGGCAGACCATCCCAGCAGAAATATTGCCCAAACACCTCTCTTTGCACAAACTTTCTGCAAAACACGAAGAGAATGCTGCTCTTGCTGCATAACAACTTCAAAAATCAACATGGGCTTGGTTTTAGAGCTACCCCAGACGTGAGGCCTACTTTGCAAAGTGGAAGTGGTTTTTGGTTTTGTCTGAAATGCTGTGATAGGAGAGACTCTGTCGAGCTGAGCATGATCAACTGCTGGCAGGTCAGAACACAGCAGAAGTGGGAACGCAAAGACAAGACTTCCACCTTGTTTTCAGGCTGCCCAGCTTGGGACAGACTCACCCACTGCCTAAGGCTGACACCTGAGCACTGATCTCACAAGCAGAAGCTTCAGGGAGAAAAAAACTGCCCCCCAAAATGGCCACAGTTATGGATAATGTAGGACTGAACCTCGGCCCATTCTCAATGGTAAATTTGTCAACAGGGCTTTGCAATCCCCACCTTCTGCTCCTTCTGGGAGTGCAGGCACTGGGGGACAGCAGAGCAGGTGAGAGGCAGCACATGTGAACCACTAGCCATAAAGCCAGTAGCTTCTTATCCAGTCTGCATATACACAAGGCACTGGTGGTTCTCCACCTTGTGCCTTGCAGTAGAATGAGTAGAACTTTGGGTTACCCACAGTGGTCTGCAAAGTTTAATTTTAATGAAGCCTAAGATTTTGTGTTAGGAAAAGCTGACCCCACCAACTGTAGGAATGATTATCTTATGCTTTGCCCTGTTTTAGGGAGACGAATGAGAACAGGAACCTACAGCTCTCTGAGAATCCACAGGGGGGACCTGCGTGCAGGAAGAAGGAATGAAACGGCTCTTCCTCACCAGGACACGCTGCTGAAGGAAGGGCAGTAAGTTTGCATGTTGGGTGTTGGGAGTTTCTGTGGAGATTTTGCAGGTGTGAAGATTGTGTCTCCCGTGGGCCATGAGACCTGCGGGGTGTGCTGGGGGAGTGGGGTCACCGTGGCCACCTTGCCGTGAAAGGCAAGTTTCCTCTTTCCCACCCAGTTTCCTGCCCAGCCCCAGCCAGCCCCTTCTTACGGCAAACACAGGGGAGGGCACTGCCCCAGCTCCCTGTCCTGGGCAGGATGTGTCCATGGCACTGCCCCAGCTCCCTGATCAGGGTCAGGATGTGTGCATGGCACTGCCCCAGCACCCTGATCAGGGTCAGGATGTGTGCATGGCACTGCCCCAGCACCCTGATCAGGGTCAGGATGTGTGCATGGCACTGCCCCAGCACCCTGATCAGGGCAGGATGTGTCCATGGCACTGCCCCAGCACTCTGATCAGGGCAGGATGTGTGCATGGCACTGCCCCAGCACCCTGATCAGGGCAGGATGTGTGCATGGCACTGCCCCAGCACCCTGATCAGGGCAGGATGTGTGCATGGCACTGCCCCAGCACCCTGATCAGGGCAGGATGTGTCCATGGCACTGCCCCAGCTCCCTGATCAGGGCAGGATGTGCCCCTGGCCCCGCTCCATCCCCGCTGCCCTCCCCGGCCCGGCAGCGCCGGCTCCCCCCCGTGCCGCACCTTGAGCGAGCGGATCTCCCTGCGCCAGGGGCACAGCAGGAGGTTGAGGCAGAGCAGCTCCAGCAGCTCCAGCGCCTTCACCAGGTCGCGCAAGGCGCGATCGCCCCGCGCCCGCCGGCACCGCTCGGCCACGGCGCGCACGTCCAGGGCCCCGCCGTGCCCCGGCAGCCCCGCCGGGCCCCGGAGCAGCCGCCGCGCCCGGGCGGCGATGGCGGGGTCGGAGCAGGGCCCGGGCCGGGCCGCGACCCGCGACAGGTACAGGGCCCGCAGCGCCGCCGCCTCGGGGCCCCGCGCCGCCATGGCCCGCACCGCCCCGCTCCGCCCCCGCCCGCCATTGGCCGACGAGCCGCCAGGGCCCCGCCCCCTTCACTCGCCATTGGCCGCGCCGCCGAGGACCGGCTCTCCACTGGTGCTACGGGCTGTCAGTCAGCGCGGGGGCGGAGCCCCGGGAACTGATGTCGGAAGGGGGAAAGACACGACATGGGGGCGTGTCCTGTCATGGGGGCGTGTCCTTTAAGGGGGCGTGTCCTGTGAGAGGGCGTGTCCTGTCATGGGGGCGTGTCCCGACGCTAAGGTTGTGTCGCGATACAGGACCGTGTTCCACAGCGGTGCTGTCCCGCAGCGGTGCTGTCCCGCAGCGGTGCTGTGCCGCACGCAGGCTCCCTCCCCGGCTCAGCGCCGATTCACACCCCGAGGCGATGCATCTCTGTTTTTATCGCAGCTCTGCAAAGCAGCGAGCCGCGGGTAACCCACGAGGGGCTGGCTCCCCATCACCAAAACCTTACACCACCTGTACATTTTAACAAGCAAAGGCATCGGCGTTCCTTGGTCACAGGTTACATCACCTCGCTGTCAATCAGTGCCCCTGTTGGCTCGTTGTCTCTCCAGTGAGCGCACAGGGGCAGCTCTGCCCTGCTCTGGAGCCGGGTCCGTTCTGGGCTCAGCGGCTCCTTGGGTGGTCCCGATCTCCCACTGCTGGAATTGCCTTTCCCCAGGCGCTGCTCAGTCCTGCCGGTACCACTCCTGGTGCCTCTCACCCAGACAGCCCATTCCTCTTGGGATTGTCTTCCCTTTGCCTTAAAACACAAGGTCAGCCAGGGGTAAACATTCTGAAATCACCTGTGTAATCATAACTGTGCAGCTACAGCTCCTGACTGAAATTTTATTTTCGTTGTTAAAGTTTGATTCAAATCCTGAGGGTCTGGATGTCAGTGTGAGGGTGTGCCACAGGCAGCGAGGGTGTGTCATTGTGTCGGGACATGTCACAGCAGAACAGTCACACTGTGTCTGGGGAACAGCTGGAACAGAGTTGTGTCTGCTGAGGTGGCTGGCAATGTCCTGGAATGGGTTTAAATGGAGGTCAGGTCCAGCAGCTGGAACACACACCTGTGATCCGGCTGATTTTGCTAACCTTGAATTTGGAATCTGAACTTTTGAGTCACCAACTCAAGTGGCTACTACAGCACTGGGCACCTGTGTGACTTCCCAAACCAGTGCTGGCATGACCTTAATTTTTGTGTGGACCGGTGTCAGCAGTGGTGTCTCCTCTGACCTGACTTGCTGCAGGTGTGAATTTGACTTCATGTCTTTTTAATGGCCCATCTTGATACAGATTGTCCTCATGACATGACAGGTTTAGAGATGAATATCTGTCTCACTGCTAACCACTGGGAGTGGGTGGCTTCTCCTGATCCAGTGTGCTCTGGGCTAAGAGAATCTGTTTCCAGAGGGTACTGGCAGAGCATCTGGGGCTTGGAGAGCTGCTAATACTGATTGAAAAAACCACAACTGCCAACTCCCAGACCATGGAGCACCATCAGACACTGTCAGACAGTGACAAAGAGAGCACATGGGAAGCTCTGCTGGAAGGGGGGGACTGAAACTTGCCCTTTCCATCTCTGGTAATGTGGAATCTTTCTTCCTCCAAGATGTATCAAATATTAATTCTCCATTTCCCCTCGGTTCTAAAATCTCATTTCTATATGGCAGTGAAGAACAGCTTCCTGTTCTCTGTCATGCAAACTCAAGAAAAATAAGAACCAGGCCATTTAACTTTCTTATTCCTTCCTCCAGGCATCAGGTTCATTAGATTGTAGAGCCTAAGCCTGGGTGTTTCCTAACAGAGCAGAGGGAAAGGACAGCTGTTTGGAATGTCTGAAGAACAGCAGCACTGTTTGTATTTGCAGGCTGCTGCTGTTAATTTTTCCTTTTTTTCCTAGCAGTGTAACACTCTTGGCTCATATTCAGCCCCCATCTGCCTCAGTCTCATCCTCAGACACTCCCCTGCATTCTGACAGGTCACTGTGTGGTGCATTTGTGACTTTGAGCCTGCATTTCCCAAGTGCAGGAATTGCATGTGTGTTCCCTGAACTGCATCTTGTGCTTTCCAGGCAATTTCTCTCTCTCTTCAAATTCCAGTCCTGTCCTCCTACATATTGCTGATTGTCCTAGTTTAATGTAGTTTGTTGATTTTAAGAGGTCCATTCCTTCTGAAATCCAGCAAGACTCAGTATTTTCATTAGGACATGCCTGACACATTCTTTCAAACTAACCCAGAGAAGTTGATACATACTCCCTTGTATGATGATTATTATTTTAATTCATAAAAGGCTATGGCTATAATTTTATCTAGAAAGTATTTCTGTAGTTTAGGGAGAGGAATGATTTGTCAGACTGCACCAAGACCAGTTAAATCAGTCTGATGTGCTTTCCATTCAGGAAATAAACCATTACTCACCTTGCTGTGCGAAAAAAAATGATCTGTTTGAACACTTCTGGGAGAACTGGCCTTTTATTTCCTGGCTTTTCATCTTTTCCCTTGGTGGTATGTAGCTATTTTCCAGTGTCCTGACTTCAGTGATTTTCACAGGTACCCATGAACGTGCCACTGAGGGTTTCTGATGCTTCTGGAAATCCCCAGAGCACTTCAAGGCGAACAGTCCTCACTGCAGCAACTCTGCAGACTCTTCCCTTCCTGCTCTGATCTTGGCTGGGCACACACTGGCCCCACTGTTCCCGTGGTTGCTTATTCCTGACAAATGTGAACCCCAAAAGCAAGTGATTAAAGGACAAGTTGCTTTGTCAGCAGTTGCTCAGCTGCCCAGTTACCCGGAGACCAAAGGTGGGTGGTCCAAAAGTGGTTCTGACGACATAAAAAAAGCACAGCAACCATACCAAGAGTGTATGTTCTTTACTAAAAGTCCCGTGTAAAGATCAGTACTAAAAGTAGAAGCAAAAGAGGTGACTACAGAAATACAGCATTGTGATCACATGGCAAGAAACAGCGTGGGCAAACAGTTTATTGGTCATGGAATAAGTGACAGGCCTGTGTCAAGCCTGGGTTTTAGCACTGGCATTAGAATTTTGCAAGAGTTTAGGATGAAATCTGATAGCAGGATGGGAATTTCTTAAGAGCAGCATCAGGAGAGACCCTGCCAACTTTGCTGAGATTTATCTGAGACGTTAAATATTCTTAAAGAAATGAAAACATGCCCTTATTGCATCATTACAACAAATCTCAGCACTGCTGCAGTAGTAGTCTTGGAGGCTGTTGGAGCAGCCCTAGAGCTGCAAACTTCTCTCTGTAGTGTTTTAGAACTAGAACTTCTCTTTCTAGTGCTGTCTGTTTGCAGAGGTATTTGGTTGGATTTATAAGCTTTTCTTCCCCCCAGAGCTTTGTTGGATATCACCCAGTTAAAAACAGCAACAAGAACAGAGAATTCTAAGCCACTCTCGCAGGTGATCATGGTAAGGTATCACTGGAGGCAGCAAACTCTGCCTTTAATCCACAGTTTGTTTTGGAAAGATATGTGTTTGTAATGAATGACAAACCCCTGTGTTCAGTGGTAACTCAGGAAATGCTGCAGTATGGAAGTGGGGTTATTCTGGGATTGTTCTGATTGTTTTGGTGAATCTGTGGTATCGGGATGCCCAGACTTTCTGGAGTGGTTCACACCACCAGAGGGAGCAGACAGTGTAAGAAACGCTGCCACTGACAGCCCACATCGCAGTGCTGGGGATGCTTCAACGTTACCAAAAGATGAAAGAATTTGATTAGTTTTCTGTAACCTTCCTAATGCGTTGCTGTCATGAAGTAAAATGTCCATCTCCCATTTTCATCAGAGGTCTGCTTAAAATCAGCATTTCTGTGCTGGTTTTCATCCCTGGCCCCTTACTGGTGATGATTATTGCAGGATACTTTGCGTACCACAAAACTTGTTTAAATAGTACTTTATATAGAGGAATTGTTCTCTCTGTTAAAAAATACAAATATAAAATACAGCCTCCGTTCTGCCAATGCCTGCCAGCAGTTTTGACATGCAAAAGGGTGGGGTTTTTGTTCTTTTGGGTATAGTGCACTGAGGATATTGAAACCCTTGCTGAACTGCAAAAGAATTCTGTTATTTTAGCAAAATACATATTTACTGTCGTCTACTTGACAAAAAATGCATCCTTACCTTATCTCATCATGTGCCTATGACTCAGTAATGGTATAATTTATATAGCAGTAAGAACCATATAATTACTTCCCATCTAAGTATTAATTATAATTGTGTCAATCTTTGGAGTGTTGGATGATGATTACGGTTGAAAATCATTCATATTTACAGAAAACCTAAGTGCAATTTTAATTATTTGGATGATGGTTCCTTTTGAACACAATTATAGATTTAATATACTCCATTTTATGTATCCTTTGGTGGAAATAGTAAATGGGAATAGTAAATAAAGTCCTTTCTAGAAGTCGTTTTTTTTTAAAATTTCAGTGAAAATACCTCTAAGATTTAGTGGAGATGTCCCTCTGATAACTCTGCTGAGTGGTGCTCGCTGAAGATGTGGATACCCAGGGCTTTTCCATTAGACAGAGAACTTAAAAATGGCTTAAAAATGTGTAGTGCAAACACAAGATGGATTGCTTTTCTTGCAATTACTGGTTTCAAAACGTCACAGCCAAGAAGTTTCCCGTGGATGCTTTCCCCAGGAAAGCACAGGGCTGAGTTCTCCTGGCTCTCTCTGTGGGTTGTGTCTGTCCTCAGCCAGACTCACTTCCAGATGAGGAGTGGGACTATTCCAGGCAGAAGTGAACAGTGGGATCCGAACTATTTTAAGGCAGTCAGGTGGAAGTGTGCTGTTGTCTCTCACCCTTCGATCTCAGGGCTCTCCTCTAGTCCCAGTCTCGCAGCTTGTTTTGCTGGGCCATGAAAAGGAAGAGGGGCAAGCAGATCTTCTTGTCTCACAGATGCACCTCAGGGTGAACAGGCGGGGTCTCTGGGGTGTGATGTCCTTTGTTTGAGCATCCACTGTCGCTTCTCCATCACTTGCTGATGGCTTCTTTGAGGAAGACTTACAGCAGCCTTTGCAATGGTGTGGAAAGAGTGGCACCAAGGGAAAAATGTGGCAATCCAAATATTATTCTCCTTTTCTTCCTTTGCTTCTCTGTAGTACTGCTCATTGTCATTTTTAGGCAGTGCCTTGTCTCTGGACACTGAAATACGTACTTAGACAAAAAAATCAAAAGACAAAAAAAATTAAAAATACTTTGTTGCCAACAACCTGAACGAAATGTGCTCGTGATACCTTTTTAATGACAAGAAAATGCTCTTCTTTTGCCTTCTGCTCTAAAACATGCAAAGTCTCATAACATCAACAGGTAGGCTTGCCTGGGTAACTCGTATCTCCATTGGGAGTGTCTGATTTCAATGTGTTTTGAAGTGCTTCAGGAAGGTCGGGTGTTCTGCTTGTCACTGCTGCTCTTTCATGCTGTGTGAGGTCATGGAACACTTTGAAGCACAAAGAGGGAAGTTTAGGGAAACTTTAAAAAGTCACTGTAAAAACTCAAATCCCGTTGCATCCCTGTTTAAAGATATAAAATAGGTAAAACTTCCAGAGGTTTTGTTCTTCCATTTAAACGTTTTTGTGGGTCTGAGTTCTTCAGAAGTACTGAAGGAAAGAGCCACTTCTATTCACGTGATCTGGGGTCTGATAGTGGAGGAATTGCTCTGTACCTCTGCCGGGGCACGTGGGATGGGGATATTCTGTTCACACCCCACTGATTTGAACAGGGGCACAGCCTCCAGGGAGAGAGGTGACAGAGATGGATGGAACGGGCTGCTGCAAGTCCTGCAGCCTGACTGCAGAATTTGCAGCCTGTCCTGTAGTCCCAGGTGCTGCTTCCTCTTCCTGGCTAATATAGATGTTTATAGATGTTTCATTCCCTTGACAAGGGTCCATGAGAGAGTATGGGGGGGGATCATCTGTGGGAATATATATTTGTGTTGCTCCTGGCCCCACACATTCATCATAGCTGAAAGAAAAAAAGGAATTTTTCATTAGGCTCCCGGGGAACAAAAGCCACAGTACATTATTTTCAGCGTAACAAGGGCAGGTAAAGTGAGAAGAAAAGGATCAGAAGGTGTTTTGTTCCTCAGCCCACTCTTTGCTTGCCCTGCCGTGTGAGACAATGGAGAGCATAACCCCTAAAAGCACACCTCCAGATCCATGCAGATAATCCCAGAGGTGCACAGGCACCGTAAACACAATGCAGCCACGGCTCATTCCTGCTCTCACCTGCCTGGAAGAGCCAAGTTAGGAAACGGCTGGGGGGGAAAGGAAGTGGTGCTGCTGTTTAATTATGAAACTTTGGTGGAGTGTGAAGTGCAGTGGCACTGAGGGCTGTCCTGCTCACTCCCAGCCCCTGGAGCTGGCACATGGCTGTGCTGCAGACCTGTGCTGGCAGGGGCAGAGCTGTGATGAATAATCCTGACTCATGCTGGTCATTCTGAGGCTCTGCAGATGGCCCATCACATCCCTCCCAGAGAAGAGGGATGCAAACAGACAGATCTGTGGGGTTTCCATGAGGAGCCAGCTCAGGTGGAGCCAGGTTTTGTAGATCTGTCTGTGCCACCAAGCTGGTGCCAGGGGAAACTCTTCATTCCCTCCCCACACTGTGTCCTGGTGGGAATGCAGAAGGCTCCTTGGATGGCAGCTTGGCCTGCACAGCTGGACTTTGATGATCCTCACGGGTCCAGCTCAGAGTATTCTGTGATTCTGAGGACAGCAAGCCTGGATAGACCAGTCTGTCTTTGTGTTTTGCCATGTTGTGTGTTACAGGCAGCAGATGGAACAGGGAATGCACAGGAGCAGGATCCCTGCACTGGTACTGGGGTGCAGGGAGTGCCCTGCAGCCCCACCAGGGCTGAGCAGAACTGCTCCCCCTGGGCTGTCTCTGCTGCCCCTGAATCTGTCCAGGTTCTGCTCCCTCTGGGCTGTCTCTGCTGCCCCTGAATCTGTCCAGGTTCTGCTCCCTCTGGGCTGTCTCTGCTGCTCCTCTGTCTGTTCTGGCAGCTCCTGTCTGCCCACACACCCACCCTGCCTCCACTCCAGCCATCCTTCATCTCCAGAGGGCTGAAGGAAGCTCCTCTTTTCCCAGCTCACTGGCTACAGGCAAGAGTGAGACAGAGCCACAACACCATGACGTTAAATGTTAGACCTGCTTTGTTGGCTGCCTTGTTAAACCATTTCAGGAGCATTTGAAATCCCGTTCTGAACAAGGATTTCCTGTAAAAAAACCACCTTTGCTTACTCAGTTAACCTGAACAACATTTGTCTGGAGGCAGAAAAATCGAGAACTGCAGAGCTATTAAGATGTAGGATATTTCCTGAAGCTTGGGATATTTAGCATATGTCTTCCCAGCAGGCTGCAGGCACACTTTCTGCCCCTGGCTTGTGTTCTGCCAGGCTAAACCAAGCTAATAAACTCTCCTGGCAGGCTGTGGGTGCTGTGCCTCCTGCAGCCCAGCTTGGAGGCCCTGCCTTTACTCAATCTTAGCTTTTCCTGGAGTGCCCCTCATGATTTTCATGCAAATAATAGGTTTTGATGCCGTTGTTCCTAGTCCAGGTGATGGAAATGTGTTTTTTTTTTTTTTGGCAAGAGAAAGGTAAGAAAGGGAAATCATAGTTTTGGGTTAAGAAACTCAAATATCCATAAGTGGTTTTATGTTTACACCCTTTTTTTCTTTATTTTTTTTTTAATATTAATGAGGGCAATGGCTTTAAATTCAGACTAGAAAATTTCCATTTCCCCATAAGAAAATGATATTTAAAAACATAAGTCTGTTCTGAAGACCCAGAGTAGGGCTCCCAACTACTTCAGAAAAAAGTCCCAGCGTATAGGAATTAGAATTATTTTGGTTTAGAGCATGTGAAAAAGATTTAGCCTCTGCTAAATACACTGAAGCTTTCAAACATACCTGGTAGTCTTTTAAAAGTTATTGGACCTAAGTCAGAGATCAAGGACTTGGTTTCCTCAACTCTCCCTGAACTCAGTGAGAGTAAAGGGAAGGTCACCCTTTGCAGGGTTGCTTGCTATGAGCTGCATCTTCACTTCATTTACATTTTGCTGACCCAAAGCCCAGGGAATTTATTTAAAATCTTTCCCCAGATTTTGACTGACTGAATCAGGCTAATGAAGAGCACTTAGTGTTACCACAGCAGAAGAGTTTCCATTCAGAAAAGCCCACAGGAGTTTCAAGGTGGAAAATTTTCAATCCTTTTTTTGCCAAGACACAAAAGCAAAGAAGCTTCTCTGTCTCCTGATTCTGGACCCGGGCCCAGCACGTGGGAAATCTGCCACTGAGCTGAAGGGGAAGTGGGCACAGTGGGCACTGTTTCTTCCTGGTGTTTCCTGATCGTCTGCATTCCCCTCCCTTGGATTTAATTTACGATCTTTCCTGAGCCACAGCTCGGCTTTGCAGAACTAAACTGCTCGGTGGGATAAACAGCAAAATGAGCTCTTGCCAAGGTGACTTTTAAGTGTCAAGACAAGTGGGTACAAATGATGGTATTCAAGGCCTGTTTAGTTCCAAATATTGATATATTACTGTCAGGGCTCTTTTTCTTCACACGTATGATGGCCAGAAATAATGATCTCTTTTTCTCCACAAGCAAGTGGCACTTAAGATCACACTTAAAAAATTTGATGAGGTAATAAAGGAAACACGCCAGACTTTCAATTTAAACGGCTTTTTGGCACCTCCACAGCTTTACCTACAGATTGTTGTGGCCAAGAAGAGAATTGCAAATAATTCAGATAGTTGTTTGGGTTTTTTTTTCGGTAATTTTTGTTTTATCAGTTTATGATCTCGATGCTCAATTTCCCATGTGCTTTTCTATTAAAGGTGTCTCTGCCTGTAGAGCTGTCACTGCAAACAGCTATTGCTGTTAGTGACAGTGAAGGCTGCAGACAAGGTTCCTGGTATTCCCTGTTAAGGATAAAATGGAGGTGAATTAAGGTCATACAAGCACTTCACCTTTGTTGTTTTCCTCGGTTTCCAAGTGTTTTGTGGTTGGGTTGGTTTTGTTTGTTTGTTTGTTTGCTGTTGTTGCTTGCTTGGAGGTTTTGGTTTTTTGTTTGTTTATTTTTCCCCTTCTCTTTAACAGCATCAGCAATGTGGTTGTGCTTTCAGAGTGCTGTTGTAGAGGTATTCCAGTAGTGCAACTGATGTATTATCAACACTACAAGCATGAATTTTATTTTGCAGTTTCTCCTTCAAAAAAGACCTCAATGTCTAAAGTTATAAAGCTTTATGATAGCTTTTTCTTTATTGGAGGATCTAAGCAAGTATTATAAGAAGTAACCCACAGCTGGACAGGCATCCACTGCCCATGTGTGTTTGTGGTTGGGAAATCATTCCTCCAAAGATTTAAGGGATTACTTATTAAAAAGTTGCAGTAGCAAGAATGTCTTGCAGTTGATCAGCATGTATTGATGCCAGTGATAATGGACCAAAACCTTCCTGTCACTTTAAAGTGTAGCTTCACATTTAGGAGAAGAGGTGGAGGGACTCTTGCGTTCCAGTGCAGGGAGGTGTGTCCCAAACCAGTCCTGCAGTGTCACCTCTGCACCTCTGACACAGCCTTTAGGGTTCTTTCTTTTCACTTGTGAACTAAACCAGAATGAAGGAGCTGCTTTTCACCAGCTGGTGTGGAAACCTCGGGACCAGAGGGGCCAAGAGGTGTCTGCAGTGATGGACAGCACTGAAGGGATCCAGGACATCCATAACCAGCTGGGATGTCATCCCTGAGACTGGAATGACAGTGTTACATGTGAGTCCCCTCAGTGTGATGACCAACGCTGCTGCTTTCAGCTGGGAAAGGGGCAGCTGGAGAGCTCAGGATGTGCAAAGATGTGGTGTCAACATGACCCAAATTCTGTGTCAGGTCTGTTCATCTGGAGAGACTGAGGGGAGACCTCCCTGCAGTTCCAACTGCCTGGGCAGGGGCAGAGGAGGGGCAGGACTGAGCTCTGCTCTGGGGGGAGCAGGGACAGCCCCCAGGGAATGGCTGGAGCTGTGTCAGGGCAGGCTCAGGGTGGATCTCAGGGAAAGGTTCTTCCCCCAGAGGGTGGTTGGCACTGAACAGGC